TATCTTCAGTTAACAACAGCCTAACCACGTTTGTAGATGATATCTAGGTAGTTAAGAACCTCTGGAACAGATAAATCCCGTGAAAACCGCTTTAAAACCGCCAAAACGTGTTTCGGGCTCCGGACTGCGCGGCGTTGGTCAGACAGATCCGACCCGCGCGCGCGGGTCGGTCTGTTCTGTCCCGCGCTAGCACGGGTCCGTCGCTTCTGCCGAACTTGTATGTTTCCTGACTTTTTCGATTTTCCGTGACTTGTAGTTTCCTTCGTTTTGCATGATTGATCATCTTGTTAATTTGTATGCTCCGCGTGAGTTGACCGATGCGTACGATTTGACCGATGTGCGCGAGTTGATTGTTGGGTGTGCGTTTGATTGATGCGCGCGAGCTGATTGACGCGTGCGAGCGGATTGATTTGACGCACGTGAGCTGATTGACGCACGCGAGCTGAATGTTGCGCGGGTGCTAACTGACTGTTGGGCGCGTTTGGACGCTTTGAGTTGATTGACGCGTGCAGGCCACTTGACGTTTGCCGTTGTGGTGGTTCGTTGTCGTGTCATCAACGGTTTGCCGATTCGCTTCATGCGTTTGTCGGCGTTGGATAATCCTCTTCGACTCGGATAATGACGTTCACCGCCTTCTCTTTGTCTTGAGCTGTATTCGGGGACCTATAGGTAATTTTTGACGCCTATAACAACGATTAAAATTTTAAATATGCAAAAATCACCCTAAAAATTAGAAATGATGACATCTTAAAGTCTGAAGTTTAGAAATAGTCCTCTAAATATCTTAAAAATTACAAATGGGCCTTAAAAATTCAAAACTCACGAACAGCAGCCTGAAATTCTTTTAAGGGTATTGATTTGAAATTTTAGATTTTCACCATGAAAAAAAGAATCCAAAAATGACCAACAATCCCTATTTTTTTACGGGCATTGTTGAGAAATTTCAGATTTTCAGGGCATTTTAAGTTTTCAACGTGTTTTTTGTGATTTTCTAATCTTTTAGGGTGTTTTTAGTAGTTTTTATATCTGTTAGGGTGCCTTTTTTTATAAATTTTGAATTTTTCAAGGTCTTTGCGGTCTTCAGATTCGCAGGGGCTAATTTGTAATTCGTAAAAGTTTTTGGGAGTTTTTTATAAATTTGAATTGTTGTTTTGTATAATTTTGGGGGTTTTCAATGTACGTAAATTTTAGATTTTCAGGAGTATATTATTATTCGCAACCCCATATTTTAATACTCTAAAATTGACTATATTTAATCTCAACCGTACATCAATGTCTACCCGAAAAGCCTCAACAAATCTCAGCCACGCCATCTCGGAGTCTTGACTGACGCTTCACGCGTCAATCGATCGCTGCCACCTCCCCGCTCGGTCGCGAGAACCGGGCCGTGGCCCTCGCGAGAGAAATCGGGTATATTTAAGAGAGGAGGAAGAAAAGAGGGAGGCGGGGGAAAAAAAGAAGGAAAGAAAGAAAGAAAAATGGGGGCTCGATCTCGACCGCAGTTCGTTTTATTTGGAGATTCGATCACGGAACAATCCTTCAGACAAGGTGGGTGGGGGGCCGCCCTCGCCGACACGTACTCCAGAAAGGTAATGTAGCTTGCCGCCTCTTTTCAGGATAATGATCTACTCTTTGTTTTTTTTTTTAAAAATCCTCATCTTTCTAAACTAAATCACATCTTATAAAATCAAAATCGAGCTTAATGTACATGGAGCGATATCGAGGTCGTAGATGCCAGGAGAGTCGCATATCGGATCGGTGCTCCGATCTCCTACTAGCAATGAACTGGTTCGGATCCCGACGGTGGAGGGCGCTGTGATGAACGAGGCTCCCCTGCGCTGCTCACGACACGCGCAATAACCTCCCAATCGATACTCTAACCGGTCACCCATCTTCGTATTTTGGAAGTCGTAGTATAAGGGGCTGTTTGGTTGCCTCTTTTAGATGCTGAATCCCTGCCAAAACTGACAAAAACTGTCAGTTTTGGTAGGGAATCTTGCAAAAACGCCTTTTTAAGAGGCATTTTTGGGTGATTTCCTACCAAAACTGACAGTTTTTGTCAGTTTTGACAGGGATTCAGCCTCTAAAAAAGATAACCAAACAGAGAGATGAAGTTTCCATCCATATCAACTAAGGATGTGATTATTTAGCTAACCACAAAATCCCTATAGGTAGGCGTAAAGATAGGATCTCATTAACTCTTTGATCATATTCCAAATCTCATCTCAACATCATATCAAATAGTTTTGATATGACAACCCACCAAGGGCACCGGATCTAGCATACCCCCACTCCACCAAAAAGTGGGCTGCAACGCCCTAAGTCGATCATAAGGTTTATGCAGCTGATGTGTTGTGCAATCGTCGAGACAACCTGCAACTTAGCAAGCTCTACACTATAAACCCTTTTAAAAAGTGAGTATAGACATCGATCCCATTGAGAAAAGAATAATATAGATAGACTCTCGTGTACCCTAGATTCAACTGGAAACACATCTCTAGTTCGAGCATCTTCTAATCTCTATTAAGAGAAGCATTCCCGACTACCGCAGAACTATATGGCAACTCAGACATTGTCAAAACAAATCTTCAAATGTAGATCATACAAAGTAGATGCGTGATCTTCCTCTTGCACTATTGCTGATTCAACCTAAGAACAATTATATTGTGGCCATAGGTGAGAAGTCAAAGTAGTAACACTACTCCCAAACTTTCACAACATAGTCAAATGTCACTAAGGGTATAATTGGAACAAATTGTATGCTCATTATATTTTTTTGGCTTCTCATGATAGTAAGGAAAAGATACATTTGTCTACCCTAGAATAATATAGTCACCTAACACACGTGGTGGGATCAATGTTTTAAATGTCTCCCGACATGTCCAACATGTCGACCGACATATCGGTTTGAGGGTTTGACCGACACGACATGAATGTTTTTAACTCGTATATCGGTTTTCAGGGCTAAATCGGAAATATCAGGGTCATATCAGACATATCAGCCTATTTTTTAGCTTTGAAAAATCGATCGATATGATATTTTTTTTTTAAGATTTGTTTTTTGTTATCGGGTTTGGGTTTAGTGATAAATACCCAAACCCGTTTGACCCGTTCTCATGTTTAAAAGTTTCTTATGAACCCGTTAGAAAGAATTTATGAACCCAAATCCATATATTATTTACTTTTTTATATGTTTAGTCTATAGAATTTATAAAGTATGCTTATATTGAATTTATAAATGCTTAGATTATATTTAGGACATGATATTATACATATGCGCACTACCCGATATGGCAATCCGATATTTAGTCAATGTCCCCCGATATATCCCCGATTTCCGCTATCCGACATGGATTTCAGCCATCAGATATGAACCCGATATCCGATATTTAAAACCTTGGGTGGGATCATGTGCCACGATAGAATAACACTCCTCTAGAGAGTATATGTTCATCTGTACATTGTGCACGTGTTCACCTAATCAACGAGCTAACCGTGCCTTGTCTATTTGCCTCCCACTCAGAAGGCATACCCTGACGCCTTAGTGGAATGCGAAACACATCTGGCTTTGAACATGTTGCAATGAACTTAGATCGTTCGTTAAGTCGATCATTCTCAAGAATGATCTCATCTCGATTCTCAATTGATACGATACATCTTTTCCATGAATATCGCTTACTATCATCGCAATTCATGATATTTTCATTGCTATCTCATCTTTGATCGCTTTGTCATAGCACCAAAAGTAGCTACTCGTGAGAGTGTGCTCATGTATACTTTTCTTTTCTCAAAAGGCTTGACGTCTCTATGCTTGCTCTTTACAAGGTTTTATAGTGTAGAACTCATTGATTGTAGGTTATCTCAATGATCGCATGACACAACAGTTGTATGGACTTTGTGATTGATTCAGAGCATTGCAGCCCACTTTTCGGTTGAGTAGGACTGTAGGAGTATGTTGCATGTGGCGCTCCTTGTGGGCTAATATATCAAAACTATTTGATATGTTGTTAAGATGAGATTTGGGATAGGATTAGAGAGTTAATAAGATCCTAGCTCTAATGGTTGACTATTTTCATCTATAAGGATTTGGTAGCTAATTAAATAATCCTATCCTTAGTTAAAGTTCCCCTATAAATAGGGATGCAGACTTCGTCTCTCATGCTACACCTTCATACATATAACTAGTGGAAAAAACCCTGCTTTTGGCTACTTAAGCGGCCCGTAAGGTGAAAGCAGTGCCTCATCGCTATGCTTTTGTCAAAAGCTACCAATAAAAGCGAACGTGGCACTTTCTGCTTGAAAATGCGTCATAGGCTCCTAAAAATGATACGGGTGTATCTTCTTCTCTGCTTCGGAAGCTTAGTGATCCTCATGGGAATTTGAGGATAGACGATTCTCATGATATCTTAAGAATAGAAGCGTGGATAGAACCGTAGAAGGCGACGAAAGAAGTCAGAAGGAGCGAAATGCAGATAACAGAAAAAACTGGCAGAACTCTGGCCGGTCGACCGTGGCAACATGCGCGGTCGACCGCCAACCTGCACGGTGCAGGGTTTGAGACTAGACTCTGTCCGGTCGATCGCGCCACATTCCGTGGTCGATCGCATCGGGTTCCTGGGTGTTTTATGACTCCTGATTGATACAATTTTCTGATTTGATTGAGCTTATTTATTTATAAGTTTACCATCCACGTTGTAAACTCTATAAATAGAGATTGTTTAGGATTTCTAAACAGGGGAGATTGTTAGAGATGTAGATCTAAGGAAATTAGGTCTAAGAGAGAGAAATCAGAAAGAAATTCTAATCAAGAGATTAGGGTTTAGAGAGAATCGGGAGACTGTTCTTGATTCTAGAGAGATTGTGAGAGAGGGATTTGTAATCTATTGTTCTCATAATCTAGAGAAAGTATTTTCCTTCGCTAAAACTGAATTGTTCTTGTGGTTTCTATCATCTTCTTCTCAACTCATTCTTGATAATTTCACGATCAAGAGTGCTCGTCTGGGGACTCGTATCAAAAAATATCATTGAGCATTGAAAAACACTTTTAAGACCAAGTGCAATGGCAAGGCAACTCAAAAATTATTACATCCAATAGCAAGGCAAATTGAAAGGCAAATGAAAAAGTTGGAGAGAGAAAGACAATGGAAGGCAAATTTTCCCTTTGTGTTAAATTTCTTGTTGGGCCCCGCGTGTCATAAAGTTTTTACAATTATTCTCACCTTGTTTTTAAATGACTGTTTTGATCAATAATTACTCGAAATTAATTTTTTATTTTTTCACCACTATTTATTATTTTTCAAGATCTATTAATAGAGCTTGAGTTTGTGTTATTTGGACAAAGCAAATAAAACTTAATTTTTTACTTAATTATCATGATTGAGTGATGTGGAGGAAAGATAAAGTGAAAAACTTTTTAAAAAATTAGTTGTTGTGGAATTGAAAGGCAATTGAAAAAGGCAAGTGATGTGGAGGGAGAATAAAGTGAGGTGGAAGGAGAGAGAAAGGCAATTTTTGCCTTGCCATTGAAGATGGTCTAAGTGCTTAACAACGCTTTATAAAAAATAAATACAAGTTTTATATTATAATATACCTGAACCAAAACTTAACCCATTTTCTTGTAAAACCCTCTGCCTCTCTCTCTCTTCTCTGCTTTTGTGACTCGAGATGAAAATAAAATCAAATCTTAACTCCAGCTATAGCCACCTCCGGCTAACTTTGTAGGCTCTTGCCACCATATCCACTTGCAATTCCTTCTTCACCAAGCTTTTCCTTCGTCACTGTCTTCTCTTGAGCTACTCATCGAAGCTCATTATCACTATATCTAGTCGACCGTAGTTCATTTTATTTGGAGATGTGGTCATAGAACAATCCTTCAGATAAGATGGATGGGAGGCCGCCCACGCCTATACATCCTCCAGAAGGTAATGTAGCTTACCGCCTCTTTTCATCTCCTTCTAAAGATTGAAATTTATTACCATTTTGATATAGATTGCATCAGGATAATGATCTGGTGTTTATTTTTTTAATCCTAATCTTTCCAACCTAAATTACACCTTATAAAATCAAAATCTAGCAAAATTTAAAATAGCATAACAAATTTCAATTTGTATGTGCGCAAATTGAAAAGCTGTTTGACTGATAGACGAGCAAAATGTACATGCTCTATGTTGCAATATTAGTATGGAAAAAGGCGAAAAAATATTAGGCTATATCTGTGTTTTTGATAGTTAGAATACTAATTTAATATATTCTGGATGCACCATTTTAGCCCATTTTTATTTTTTATCTGGTGTGAACTATTATTATGGAGAGATTAGATAACATTAAAAAGGTGACTAAAATGAACCTACCTACCCCTACCTGTATTAATCATCTAGAGGGAATATTTTTTTGACAAAAAGCACACCTAGTCCTTCTAATTCTACATTTTTTTTCCAGCAATCTTATTTTATGTTTTTTTTTCTCTTTTCTTTTGCAGACATTCTTTTCACAAATTTTTTGCCACTATATTTTTTGCGGCTCATTTCTACATATTCTTTCTCGTCATCTTTAATTTTTCCTTTTAGAGTCATAATAGTGTTCTTTTATGCAGTTTACCATCTTACATATATGATAAATCATAACTTACAAGTCTATTTGCAATATCCATTTAACAAATCTCATATTGAAAACTCAAGAAACAAATCTCATCAATTGTAAAAGTGGGTGAGATCAAGATCCTTATGTCAATTAATATTTTATTAACCATCATTGGTATTTTTTCAATGGCCTAATCTTGTGACAGTTGCTTGAACTTCAATAATTATTTCAATATTGAAACATAATTTCTTTATCATCTTGCAAATAAGGTCCTCAAATTTTGAATTACTTGCTAATAGATGCATTATATTAGTTGATTTGAGTGCAAAAGGGTTATTGAAGACTCAAGTTACGATGATAGTTGGAATGGTCATAATCCCCGTAAAACAAGTGTCTGTTTGGTCTATTTTAAGTTAGTCTGAATGTTAGTCCATGCGAAAAAATTAGATTAACCTAAAATAGTTCTAGGATAATATAATCTCAATAAAATAGTTCGGAGAGTACAATACCCCCTAATTCAATTCAAGGATAAAAAGCAAACATGGCCTTAGTGTTGTAAGATGGGTGGAAAAATACATACTGGATCGGTGCTTCACATTTTGCAGCTAGTGATGAACTAGTTCGGATCGTAACAATGGAGGGAACTACAACAAACAAGGCTCTACCACACTATTCAGAAACATGCAACATCTTGGTCGGTACCCGAGCCAATCACTAATTTTGTGTTTTGGAAATAGTGGTATGAGAGATAAAGTTTTCACCTCTATTTATAAGGCGAACTTCATTTAGTTAGCCACCAAATCCTAATAGATAGGCATAATCAACTATTAGAAGTAGGATCTCGTTAAGTCCTTGATCTTATCCCAAATCTCATCTCAACAATATATCAAATAGTTTTCATATAGCAGCCCACTAAGGGCACCAAATCCGACATACTTGCACTCCACCGAAAAGTGGTTGTAAATTGTAATGCTTAGAATCGATCATAAGGTCCATATGGCTGATGTGTCATGCGATCATTGAGACAACCTACAAGCGGTAAGCTCTACACCATAAACCCATGTAAAGAGTGATTATAGAGACATTCCTATTGAGAAAAAAAAATTACGGAGTCTTGTGTACCCCACATTCAATTGAAAATACACCTCTAGTCTGAATATCTTCTAATCCCTTTTAGGAGAAAGCATACTCAACTATCACGGAACTATATGACGAGATTCACACATCTTCAAAACAAAGCTTCAAATGCAATCACCTATTATCTTCTTCTCACACTAATATTGATTTAATCTGAGAACAACTGTTTTCTTAATCACCTTCCTTTAGGCTGAATATATCATGGCCATAGGTGCCCATACCTTCGCAACATAGTCAAATGTCATTATGATTATAATTGGAACAAATCATATGCTCCTTATATTTGTGGTTTCACATGATAGCGAAGGATACATTCGTCTATCCTAAAACCATAGTCACCTACCATACATAGTAGGATCATGTGCCATGATGAAGTAATGCTCCTCCGAAGAGTATATGTTGATATTTATATTGTGCACATCTTCATCTAATCAACGCGCATACAGTGTCTCTTCTGTTTGCCTCCCGCTCAACAAGCGTACCCTTGCGCCTAAGTGGAACGCAAAATACTTCTGGTTTTGATCAGGTTTCAATGAATCTGGATCATTCGTTGAGTCGATCATTCTCAAGAATGATTTCATCTCAATTTCAATCGATGCGATACAACTTCTCCATGAATGCCGTTTACTATCACCGCAGTTCATGACATTTTTATTGTCATCACGTTTTTGATAGCTTTGTTATAGCGTCAAAGGCGACTAATCGAGAGAGTGTGCCTCTATATGTTTTTTTTCTCAAGGGGCATGATGTCTCTATGCTCTCTTTACAAGGTTTTGTAGTGTAGAACTTGCTGATTGCAGGTTGTCTCGATGGTCACATGAGACAACATCCATATGGATCTTGTGTGATTCAGAATGTTGCAATCCATGGTTGAGTGGGAGTATGTTGGATTTGGCGCTCTTCGTAGGCTGCTATATCAAAACTATTTGATATGTTGTTGAGATGAGATTTGAGATAGGATCAGAGAGTTAATAAGATCCTACCTCTAATTATTGATTCTCCTTATTCATAGGGATTTTGTGGCTAATTAAATGGTCCTATCCTTAGTTGAAGTTCCCCTAGTAAATAGAGATGCAGACTTCACTAGTTCATCTGTCACACTACATTTCCATTTACTAAAATTAGCAATTTGCTCGAAAATTCATTGGAAAGTTGTCCCATGTGTCGTGAACAGTGCGGAGGAGTCTTCATCATAGTTCCCTCTATCGTCGGATCTGAGCCGTTTCACTACTAGCAGCAGATCGGAGCACCGATCCGGTATGAATTTCTCCTCGCATGTTACAATATGTCTAGAGCATGCAAAATCAAGTCCGACAAGGACAAATAGGTGAACATCTTCTTATTAAATTTACAAAGCAAGTATATGGATCATTATTAGCTATCTTACAGTGAATTCTTATTGGATGCATCAAGGCAGAATAAAAAAGAATTTATAATGATGCTAGGCGTGTTAAAGCATAGTTGTGATTCCTTAGACCCCCCTCGAACTATCGTATAGTTCTTGCGAGCTGATTCTCTCCAATACACAAATTACTTCCCCAAAATTGGCGTATCATTTACAAGTATGCAGGGCGCAAGTTCTCTTTAAGTGCACATGCACAAGACAAAATGCTTTGTGCACAATCGAGTGAAGGGAGACGAACAATTGAATATATGAGTCAATTAATTTACTGTAAATAAATACCTATGTTAATATAACATGAAATGAAACCATGAACCCGACACGAACTATGTGAAAAGAAAAAACAGAACATGAAAAAAACGAACTCCATAAAAAACGAAGTATTTAAGTATTTTGTATGAAAAAATATTTAAATGCATAACTAACTTTCTAGTTTCAAGTTTTCTACTATACGTTTTGGAAAACTGTAACCATAAAAAAAAAAGATTTACAACGTACGACTGACCAAACTTGTGTGCCGAAGCAAACTACCCCCTTCGAATCTAAATTTTCTAAATGGCTAGTTACGTGGTCAAATTCGTACAACAACTCGTTACGTATCGCATACTATGTAACTATGTGTTAAAGGATTCTTAACTTGAACAAGTTTGTCTGATCAGAAGGTATCTTAATAAACAACCGAGATCTGAAAAATAAAGTTGTGGTTATAACATACATGAAAGTAATTATTCATCACACTCAACTAACCAAGAAAGCACGAACTTAAACACTATGATACCATGTACAATGTACTACATATTGATCTTGCATACAAAAGCAAGCTAGCCCTTCTCAAATCCAAATTTTCTAAGTGGCTAATTGTGTATCCGAATTTGTACCACGACCCACTACATACCGTGAACCGTGTAATGATGGTCCTAACTTAGGGGAAGTATATATAAGCACACTCTATAATCGAGGAAGCTCTTGAGTTTATGCAACCAAATAAGTAAGCATTTAGATTCAAAGAGCTCTGATGAAACCCTAGTGGCGGAAACTTGTCAATTCTAGAAAAATAACTTGCATAAAGAAACCTATCAAAATGGTAAATAGCAAAATTCAGCTATTACTTATTGAATTGATAAGATAAACATATTACGATGTCTAGGATCATTATCCTCTCCGGCGTCTCCGCTTTAGGATGTTACCATTAATCTCTTCTCTTTACAGTGTAACTACTAGTACTAAGTAGTTAATGTCCTTAATGTGTTTCGACTTATGTCTGTATAAAATACTATAGGAGCATGTCTTGGTTCACAAGGTACATTGCTCAAAACTGATTCTTTAACTCCGTTATCCTCAACAACTACATTTTCTAGTATGCACATGATGGCGTAGACACTAATGTAAGTTATTAACACTTTTTCGAGCTGCCTAGATCTCACTTGTGTCTTAATTAGAAGTGTTATATATACTCTTTTATGCACCATTGGCAGATAAATTTATTGTTATTACTATTTTTTGCATAAATCGTGATGTGTATGTTGGATTTGAAGACATCATTGTTTATATTGCCCGCAAAATGTGTTTCTGTTACTATTACTCACATGCCTTCTATTCAGGCAGATATAATTGTTAGAGGCTATGGTGGATATAACACAAACTGGGCTTTGTTTTTGCTTAATCAGCTATTTCCTCTGGTAAGATTTGGCCACTCTATCAATCTTTATTCTTTTTTCCGGACATTTAAGCATTTTACTGATGGATGTAATTCAATACTGGAGGCTTCATCATTTTATAGTTTCTTTGAGTTTCTTATTTGATACGGTAATTGCAGATGTTTTCTGGGAAGTTTGACTCAAATACTTGCTGACTTGTGCAATAATCTGAACTTCAACCATTTTATGTTTTTTTTAATCTTCTTGTTTGAAATGGCTCAATTATAGATGTTTTCTTGGAAGTTTGAGTCAAACGATTGCTGATTTGTTCAGTAATCTTTTATTGGTTGATAAAACACAAATAAAGTAGAAATTGAAAAGAGACAACAGTACCCAATTGTTTGTTTCTATTATAATTATGTTCGCATAAAGTTGGAAATGTTACATGCTTACAATTATTATGCTTGAATTGAAAAGGTGAGCAATGGCAGAAGGTATTGATCCTTGCTTCCGTCAACCTATCAGATAAAAACAACAATGTTAACCAAAACAAAGCTTTCTGCAGCTTTTAGCCCATAATCCAATTTGTTGAGGTTAAATAATTCAAATAAACAGAAGGGCAATGCAGATTTTAGATACCTGAGCTTCGTAAAGACATCAAGAGATATCGAGAAGTACTCCTTAAATTGAAGTCAGTTAAATATGACTTTCTTCTGGAAAAGTTTGGCTCAAGTTTATTTCTTACCTTATTGCTTTGGCGGCTAATTCAAGCTAGAAGTTTGATGCAAGCTTCAGATGAACCATAATTAGCATGACCTGAACTAGATTTTGGGTACAGGTCAATAGTTGCAGGATTTGGTAATTCAAATTTTATGTGATTCAGCTGCATATCACTGATTCTGATCATATTATTTAAAAAATGCCACCTGGACCACGAATCTTCATAATGCAAAACATATTTATATGGTCTTGTGCTTTCTAACGTGATAATTAGTTCATTTGCATTTTTGTCGGGAATGGAGATTTCTATTTGCAGACGGGTTTATTGGATAACACCATGTTCCTTTGTTAGATAGTATTCTTCATTCTTGAAGTCTGTTGTTTGTTACTCAAGGACAAAGGTATTTGAGGATGCAATATCAGAGTGAGATTATTTGTAGTTTATGTTGTGAAAGTAGGGTATTAACACATGATGAGAAAGTTATGTTTCTGGATCATTTTGCCTCTGTAGAATGGAGAAGTGAGGGATCTTAATGATTGGTGGTCGACGAAAATGATGGATGAGGTGACCAATGCCTATAGATGCTAGAGAAAGGGGGTCATAAGTACAAGTAAGCATTCTAGCTCGGAACAAAAACTTGTTTGCGAAGAAGAGGTTTCTGATTAGACAAATCGAATAGATAGTCATTTTGTATGTAACGGTGATTTCTTTGTAAGTTCGCCATATGAGTGATCAACTGTATATCTCATGGTGGATTTCAAATTTGATGAGTTTATTGTTGGCACTATCTTATCTTTCTCATAAGCAATGTGAAACTGATGAGAACTGATGATGTAATGGTGTATTATTTCTTTGGGGGGAGAGGCCGTCCTGAGACATACCTTCCATTTTACTAGAAAGAAACTCTGAGACTGCGCATATATGTAAAGCAACTAAGAAACAACTACTCATATCATAAATGATCCAAACTCGGGTAATTCTGATCACAATTTAAATTGTGAAGCAAATTATGTTATTTCTATCACCTACGAGTTGTATAAAATTGTGTGTTATTTTGGAGGATATGGCTGCGAGGGAGCTAAGGACATATGCTTGCATTAGTATGCGAGGTATTAAATATCAGATATCGAGGAAATTGGACGACCAAAATCCATCTTGGATGCGAATATTTGGATATGTAGTAAATGTCAGAGTGCTTTATCGGATGATGTTGTTGTATAATATAACGTCCTAAAATGTAAACTAAGAATACTTAATGAAATATGAGAATACAAAAATGTGAAAAATATATGTTTAGGATCACTAACAAATTGTTGAAACTCAATTACAGAAAGGAGCCTACTACAATTTGCTAAAAACTTCATAGGGCTAGATATTTTTGGTAAAAGCATTAGAGAAATTTTGCAGAATTATATTGTTTTGTGATAATCTATATAAAAGGATATATCGGCTGATATATTTGCCATATTGGGATATATCACCCAAAAATCACCAAAAAATGGTAAAGGATATTGAGAGCATATCACTTCGCTACAAGCATTATAGAAGGATATATCGGTCGATATATTGGGATATTTAGAGCAATGCTAGTATGCTTACGACATTGCGGACTAGTAATATAGCAATTCCTATGCTTAGTGGCTGATTCAAAGTAAATTTACATGTTGATGTGGGTTACTTTTCTTTATACACCATGGTCTTTTAAGACTGATATTGAAAAAGCACAACATTTCAAATAATATAGAATACCTTGAATTGTATAAGTCAAGAGTCACTAAAATAGCCATATTTCATTTATTAAGTGTAAAAATAACATGCATCCTAATCAAACAGAATTATGAACTCATTATTTATGTACTTAATTTTGTAAGCCTCAGGCCTATATCTAATGTGGCTTTCATGTGTTTACTTTAAAAATTGTAGTCTGGGATAGTTCTTTAATTATCATAAAATAAGCATCCAACAATATTTGTTAATAACCTTAGTTCCCAGTTCATATATGTGATAGATATCAGTGCATCTGCATCCTCAAAAATTCGAAACATTGGCTGAGATGCAAAAGATGGAAGATCTAGAAAGAAATTACAAAGGGGGAAATGGATATAGGAATCAGAACTAGGGAAGTAGGAAAGGCACACATAGAGATCACATTATCATGCTAAGACGGGAGAAGGCTAGAGTTGCTTGAAGAGTAATTGATGCAGTAACTGGACCATATTGAGGTTAGTTTTAGTGAGGTGAATATTACAACACTAGGCAAATGAGTAAATGATGGTCTCAGCTCAATTTTATTTTACTTCGTGTATACTAGATTTTACGATGTACCCTGCACATATTGAAAATGTATGGTAGATGTATCAAAGATCAGTAAGTTAAAATATGCATGTATGAGGAATCATTCATTTACTATTCTTTTTAAAATGTATATGACGTGTGTTGTATTTAAATAATTTGCCTGGTTCCTTAATAAGAAATGTGATTGTTCACATAAATTGTAATTAAGATAACTAGAAAATGTTAGTGATATATGAGATAAGGAGCATTAGCACTCACAAATTATGTATAATTTTAAGTGTTGTATATATCGTATCTGTATCGTAAATTTTTATGTTCTTGTGTTCTTCATGTATACTTATCAAACATATATCCTTACTGTCATTTTGTGTCTGGATGTATGTTTGTAAGTATATATATTACATAATTATACTTTATGCATATATTTGGGCATAGCCATGCCATGTATGACCTGGATTTTCAAGTTTTACTGTATCTCTGTGTCCATGTAATATCATAGTTGAATTATGTAAATGTCCATGCTTTACAGTTTAAAGGCATTTATAAATAATGGGTAGGCTAAAATAATGTGAGATTAAGAAATTAGACGGTGGTTGCGACACAGAAATTTTGTATTGGCTTGCAAATAGGTGGTATAGCTGATCATACTAATTTTCAAAATTGTTTGTTATTGCATTGGATTGTCTATTATTTTTTCAAATCTTATGTCTCAACAAGTAAGGTAATATGTGAAATACACTTACTGTTATTAATGAAGAGAATTTTCATAATGCCACAATTTTGATCATTACATGAAATCTAAGGAGATGTTCTATATCAAATAAAATCAGTTTGTATTTACTTGAACATTATCTTTTTTCTAATAATTTAATTTTCTCCATCCAGCACTGATCATGATAGTTATGTAAGTTTGTAGTTTTTAGGCCTCCATAATGAAAATTAGTATGCTCCAGTCTTAGACGACTAGAAAAGGCTTTCTACCCCAAAACATGTTGGGCTCTCCTTGTCTTGTATTCAGTTCTGTTGATGGTCCTGTCCCCTGTTAAATTAACAGCCTTTCATTTTCTTCTTTTTTTTTAAAAATTTCCTTGATCCTTGATCATTTATGTTTGTCCTCAGCCTTCTATGCTCCATCAGTCAAAATTCTATTAATTCATTCTAACTGCACACCGCAGTCTTCAATGCATGTGCATGCTATCAATTGGTTCTCGATTATTTATCCTCAATTAAGTTTCCTTTGAGACCTCACATTTGCACCTATAGTCCTATATTTTACTATTTTGCCACTTGTCCATTCAAATGTTACCAGATTTGTGGCTTTGGATCATGGTACATGTACGGTTACGCGTCATGCTACTTTGAATAGCACATGGTACAAAGGAGACAAGCTTAATTACATTGGTATTTTGGATCACTATGCACTCGATAGCATTTGCCACGGCCATTTTGATAATTGTACATGTATCGTGTTACATCCAGTTTCATTTAACAATCGAAGTTTAATCTCCAAACTATAAAACCATGGTATCACTTTCACTTGAGAGTCACAAATCAGTTGATTAAGAAAAGATTAATTGGTAGTGCTGAATACATAAAAACATTCACATTGAATCAGTCACTTACTAACCCTCTTAATTTATTTCTGGGATCAAGTTTAGGCAATTTGGATCAGAATTGAATCCTGAATCAGAAAACATGAACTGGTCATAATCCAAGGAAGGTTGAATTGGGTAATACAATGCTCTTAGAAAGACTCTAGAGTCAGAGACTCAGTCCTCATTCTCTGGACGAAAATCATAAGCAAACATGGATGGCTTTCTTAATGCTTAAAAAGGAAACTCCCTAACTCATTGAGATAAAGTCTTTGCCGTTCTTGTTGTTTTATTTTTGTTACTTCAAGAAGGTTTGAAATAGATATTCTTTAGGCTTGAACAGAAACATCCAATTACAGCATAGATGTTGCATTTTTCACTAGATGATAGCCTATGTATGTACATTTAAACATGTAGATGTGGATAATGTTCTGAAGAAGATAAATAGTAACTCATAGCAAAGAATGCAGCAAGGACCAAGGAGGAATTTCTGTTGATAGCTATAGGGACTGCATGACCTTTTTATTCTGCAATGTTATTGTTCCTATATCATGCTGATGTTTATTTGCAATGAGCTGTGCTTTATTTGCATTGGTTCATTTGCAATACCCCCAACATTTAGGCTTGTAATAGCCTATGCTACTCACTCATAAGTAGCAAGATTAGATGGACATGTTGTTTGTTCATAAATATATGGTTGTACATTCTTTTATTTCCACTTGTACGTGCAGTACTTACATATGTGCATGTGTTTACCTGTGATTCTAATGAATATTTATTTCATATTGGCGAATCGTTATTTCCAGCTGTATATTCATCTAACTATTTCATGGAGAAGTACTTTAAGTAGGTTTTTTAATTTTGATTTTGTAGAATTGCTCAACAGCTCCTGCTGCTGCAACTATTTTTTTTGGAGCGAATGATGCAGCTCTTTTTGGGAGAACAAGTGAACGGCAGCATGTGCCCCTTGAACAGTACAAGGAAAACCTAAAAAAGATTGTTCATCACTTGAAGGTAACATATGCATGCATGCATATATACATACATGATACATGCATGCATACATACATGCATACATACACATGTAGCTGTATACATGCGTACTTGTATACATACACAGATACAAATAATGTTCTGCACCTTTCTGTCTTGCATGCTTGTTTCTACTATTTTGGGAAGCATTAAGTTAAGATATTTATTCTTCAGATAATTTTTCAAAGGATTATCTCATCTTATCAAGGTGACAATACAGGTCTAACACGTGACTCTGCTATGCACTTGTGGTTATGGCCATCTTTCATCCATTTGGAGCAAAATGTTTAGATAAGCCAAAATAATGTATACATATTTTCCACCAGAGAAAGAGATAATATTTATTTTTTCCCTTAATTGTGCATTTGTAGGAAAGGTAGAGAGGTTGCTTCTGTAGAGGATGAAATGAGAGAGAATCGTTTGAGATGGTCTGTTCTCAATGGACCAATTAAGAGAAGTGATAAAGTTATAGTTAGTGGGGAAAAGATATGATATTGAGAAGGATATGATATAGCTTAGTGGAGGAGATATCCCTCAACAGAACTAAATGGAAGAGCACAATCCATGTAGCCGACACCAAAATAATTTGGGAGAAAGTCTTTGTTGTTGTTGTTGTAGAAAGAGAAGCAAGAGGATAAAGGCTCTGCTAAAAGAAATTCTTCTATCTTCAGTATTTAATTGGCATAATTTCCTTTATCTTGTCTTTTATCAACAGTTCTTATATATGATTCCAGCTTTGCACATCTCATGGATATTGGCATATGTCAGGAATGTTCACCAACGATGTTAGTGGTTTTAATCACTCCACCCCCTGTGGATGAGGATGGTCGCATGGCATATGCACGGTATAATATATATATATATATATATTTTAATTTCCTCATTCATATAATCATTCCATTTTCTATGTAGTTTTTGCCATTGACATGACCATTATTGTTGATAATTGATCTGTAGTTATGTAGGGAATTGAAAAAAAGAAGAATATTGGAAAAAGTATTTAGCACAGTTCTGTTGAATTAAATCCTGTTAACAGGATGATTCAATTTCTCTATTTAATAGAAATAGAGAGATTATCTGGTCCAGTTATTATATAAAATGGGATTAAAATGAGTGGTTACAGACTTATAGAACTTGAACACGAATAAACTAGTCCTCAATGAGAAAGAAATCTAATCATACTAACATAGAAAGTTTCCAAATAGTTATATTATAAATGGATTTCTAAATCAATTAAAATTTTAAACCAGGAATATTTATTTTATAGATAAGGGTATAAAAGATTTGTTCGAACTAAAATCAAATTTTCAATACTAAAAAAAAAACCTTTGATCATCTTTTTTCCTCTCCTTTTTTCACCTGCTCCTTTGCGATTTTTCATGAGAAAGTTATTTAATATCAAGTTTATTCAAGAATTGTAAGGATTTTGGTGCAAGGATTGAATCTTGTACCAGACATACCGTAAAGACTTGTTCTACTTACCTAGTTACCTACTCCTTTTAATATACCTTACTTTTGGTTCTCGATTTGATAATGCTACTGTGGTCATTGTTCTCAGGCAAATGACACAACACTCATTCTCACCTTCATCCGTTTTCATAACTCCGAAAAGGATCTCTTGTCTGAGAGAAAGTTGTTACGTGCTGATGTAACTTTTAAATGGTGTATATTGTCTTACACAGACACATGTAAATGAAGAAAATTGAAGTCATATATCATAGACAAATTGTTCTAACTGATCCATTTGGAAACCATAACCTAGTAAATTCTGTTGAAATAAAAGATGTCATACCCCGGAAGACTGTTTCAAGCCATAAATAAACATTTATTAACTTGCATGCCATGTCCTCAAGTCATTCCAGTACACCTATAGACTGATACATAGCGATCTTCTTTTCTAGTTCTTCATCAAGAAAATTGTCTTGGCATCCATTTGAAACATTTTTAAATAATTTGCCCTCATAGTGTTGGCAATGCATTTTTACTCAAAGTTTCCTTAAAATTATTGTAACAATCTTGTAATGTGCTGTTTAATTCCCTAAAATAATTGTTTTTAATTTTTTTTCCAGTTCCTTGTACGGTGAGAAGGCCATGGACATGCCAGAGAGAACAAATGAAATAACTGGTGTTTACGCAAATCAGTGTGTTGAGCTTGCTGAAGAATTGCAAATCCCATATATCAACTTATGGTCTCTAATGCAAGAATTTTCAGGATGGCAAAAGAAGTTCTTGAGGTTGGTTGGATATTTGAAATTTATTTTGTTTTTCTCCTTCACCACTAGTTTCTGTATGTTTAGTATAATTAGTCTATATGTTTATCCATGATACTAGGCCTTCACTCCCATCTTTTCCCTTCGGGCTGTACTTCTATCTCTGTCTTACATGACACACACGCACACGTGCTTGACTACTGACGATAAGACATATTACCTTCTTTTAATACCTGGGCTATGTTTGCAGATAAAACAGAAGTAGAAGAAATAATCATGTCTAATGCATTCTAAGATGAAATTTTTATGTAAATTGTATCACATGGAATTTCTTCTGTTCTCCACATCCGAAAGAATAATATTCAAGACACTCATGTTCAACCCTTCTTTTTTGGCGCTCAAGATTCATTTTATCGAGCTTTCATATTCCCGATTAATTCCCATAAGATTGCATCATTGATGTTGTTAGATTAAAATGAGTGTCTAAAACACTACTCTCCAAAATAATTTCTCATTAATAGGCATACAGCAAAAGGATTAATGTAACTCTGAGAGGCTTTAAGAAACATATATAAAATAGTTAAGACTTCTAAACCCATAAAAACATAGATATTGATTGTGATACATCTTTGTTCTTCTGGGATCTCAAGTAACAACACATATTTTGCTTCTCATGCTTCTAACATACTTAACCCTTTTTTTTCCGCAGTGATGGCTTGCACCTGACAGCAGAAGGCAATGCAATAGTCCACAAAGAAGTCGTTAAAACGTTCAGTAGTAATCATCTCCGAGCTGAAGAAATGCCATATGATTTCCCTCATCATTCTCAGATAAATGGAGAAAATGCTGAGCAAATATTTAGACAGTGGAGCTAATGTTGTCTCCTTGCCAATCTCATTTTCCGTCTCCATCAAATTACCAATTATCTCTTATGAAACTTTCCTACCCTTCTTTATCTTCCCCTTCTGTTCTTTATGACACTCTCAAAACTCTCTTAGTGTGCTTTGCTATAATTATTCTCAATGATGACATTTTCGGTTCAAATTTTATTCTGCAAATGGTTGGCTTACTTGTACTTTTGACGCCTTGTCACTACTACGCATACAATACTAACTTTACCATTAGCACATTTGTGTCTTTCGTGATTATTTTCATTGGCATTATTTAAAATGTGTTGGGAAGTTGCCCGGCGCGGTTAAGGATGAAAAACTGAGTGAGATAATCCATCTGCCGGATACTGAACCGAAGAATGCATTTGCCTTACCGCACTACCGACTTACTGCGCTACCGACTGAAGATCTAATGAATACTCTTGCATTTTCAAGTAACCAGCGCTCTCTACAGCTTCTTCGAATGAGGTGTAACTGGCTCTGTTAGGTGCCGGCAGGAGATGAAAAGTGTAGGGGGGTAGAGGCGACGGTTATTGTTTGTTTAGGGATAGGGTTAGGATTTGTTTTTTGACTGGAGAGGAATGTGAGACTTCAGATTTTATGTGGAGAAATATGAATTCCTGAGAGTTTGTGGAATGGTACATCAAAGATGAATGTTTTGAGAGTAGAATAAACCTAGCTTCAGATTACCTTTCTAGTACCGCTAGTCTCTGGATCACGTACTAACGTGCTTTTGTGGATTATTAGTAAATCTACTGAGCATCCCAACGGCGAAAGTAATATATGGTCTTGTGCTAACTCATTGTGTATATCAGGCTGCCACCGATCTAACATACCCCTTTCAAGTCCGTCCCCAACATTTTCTCTCTCCATTTTCTTCTTCTTCCTCCTCGCCGCTTCTCTTCTCCTCATTACTCATCTTCTCCTTCGCTTCTCTACACTAGCAACCTGGGTCGCCAACACATCTCCATCTTCAGGGCCCATTTCGTCATCAGAACCACGTAGAAAAAATGGGTCTAGCTAGAAGTAGGGGTGCATCCAGTCCGGATAGGGCTCCGATATGATGCTTACAATATCCATATCCGTTTACCCATCTCGGATACGGATACAGATATATCTCGGTAAAAAAGTTCATATCCATATCTACTAAAATCAAATACGGTTACATATATACATGCGGATACAAAACGAATATGAGAAAACTAGATAGTATTCAGAAAAACATAATTCATGTAATGCAAAAGAGTTTGTTAATATGTTCATTATTATTGAAAAGCTAAGATTAGACATCTTGATCATCAAAAGTAACCACAAATCCATAATCTAAGAATCGAAACTATCGTAAGAGTATGACTAATATGTATTCGGATATTTCGGATACGGATATAGATATTTCACAACAAAATCATATCCGTAACCATATCCTATCAGTTATAGATTTAAATAACCATATCTGTATCCTAACAGATAACATTACGAATATTTCATCGGATACGGATATGGTTTAGCACCCCTAGCTAGAAGGATCAAACCATCATCACCATAGCCTCCTACCCTACTGTCGTAAAAAAGACCACTGCCAGAGCCAGAGCCAAAACTTGTGCCCGCACCTGGATGGTAATCACCACCATAGCTATGACTACCATATCCGCCAAAGCCATTGTTGCGTCCATACCCTCCACCCAAGTCTTCTCCAACATAACCTGCTCAACACTACCAAAGCTACAAGAATAAGCAAGAGAAGATTCTCCCCTGTAACCTCCAAAACCACCAAATTCCTCTGCATCACTGTCATAACAGAAATATTCACCAAGCCTATGACTGACATCTCCAGTGTCCTATAAGAACTGCTCTCATCATCAGAATTATGTTTATTTCTTTTTTTTCCTCGACAACTTCTTTGTTCTGTATTCACATAAGCAACATCCTTCTTTCTATTGTTCTTCTCGTGTGTTTCTTGTTGATCTCCTGTCTTCCATCATGCTCATGCCTCATACGACTGGGCTTGCAAATCTTCTTCGTTCTTTGTTCATTACTCATCTTCTCCTTCGCTTCTCTACACTAGCAACCTGGGTCGCCAACACATCTCCATCTTCAGGGCCCATTTCGTCATCAGAACCACGTAGAAAAAATGGGTCTAGCTAGAAGTAGGGGTGCATCCAGTCCGGATAGGGCTCCGATATGATGCTTACAATATCCATATCCGTTTACCCATCTCGGATACGGATACAGATATATCTCGGTAAAAAAGTTCATATCCATATCTACTAAAATCAAATACGGTTACATATATACATGCGGATACAAAACGAATATGAGAAAACTAGATAGTATTCAGAAAAACATAATTCATGTAATGCAAAAGAGTTTGTTAATATGTTCATTATTATTGAAAAGCTAAGATTAGACATCTTGATCATCAAAAGTAACCACAAATCCATAATCTAAGAATCGAAACTATCGTAAGAGTATGACTAATATGTATTCGGATATTTCGGATACGGATATAGATATTTCACAACAAAATCATATCCGTAACCATATCCTATCAGTTATAGATTTAAATAACCATATCTGTATCCTAACAGATAACATTACGAATATTTCATCGGATACGGATATGGTTTAGCACCCCTAGCTAGAAGGATCAAACCATCATCACCATAGCCTCCTACCCTACTGTCGTAAAAAAGACCACTGCCAGAGCCAGAGCCAAAACTTGTGCCCGCACCTGGATGGTAATCACCACCATAGCTATGACTACCATATCCGCCAAAGCCATTGTTGCGTCCATACCCTCCACCCAAGTCTTCTCCAACATAACCTGCTCAACACTACCAAAGCTACAAGAATAAGCAAGAGAAGATTCTCCCCTGTAACCTCCAAAACCACCAAATTCCTCTGCATCACTGTCATAACAGAAATATTCACCAAGCCTATGACTGACATCTCCAGTGTCCTATAAGAACTGCTCTCATCATCAGAATTATGTTTATTTCTTTTTTTTCCTCGACAACTTCTTTGTTCTGTATTCACATAAGCAACATCCTTCTTTCTATTGTTCTTCTCGTGTGTTTCTTGTTGATCTCCTGTCTTCCATCATGCTCATGCCTCATACGACTGGGCTTGCAAATCTTCTTCGTTCTTTGTTATATTTCTCTACCATAACCTGCTCAACACTACCAAAGCGACTAGAACAAGCAAGAGAGGGTTTTCTCCTGTAACCTCCAAAACCACCAGCAAATTCCTCTGCACCACCGTCATAACATATATATTCACCAAGCCTACGACTGACATCTCCGGTGTCCTATAAGAACTGCTCTCATCATCAGAAGTATGTTGATCCCCCGTCCCCCCACCCTCAACGGCTTCTTTTTTCTGCATTCACGTAAGCAACATCTTTCTTTCTATTGTTCTTCTCGTGTGTTTCTCGATGATCTCCTGTCTTCCATCAGTCTCATGCCTTGTACTACTGGGCTTGCAAATCTTCTTCATTCTTTGCTATATTTCCATTCGCACCATCACCTTCACCTTGCTTATCATCTGAATCATGTCCTCTACTATTTCTTCCATGGTTTTTGTTAATATGGCACCAAAGAGAGAATCATAAAAAATAATCCAGAGTTGAATTATGGCATGCAGCTCAATTAAACATGACAAAATTGGTATAAACTCAACAAATATAACCTCACTTCCGACATCTGATATATTATGGTGCAAGAGAACCCTAAAAAGGTTTCGTCACTTATCTGCAACGAGAACAGTGAATTTGCTCTTTGCCATAAATATCAGCTTCACATTTCAGTCCTCGATGCCGAGCAGACACTGGACTAAAAATAATTAATTAAACAAACGTCGACAGCACTGGCTATGACTGGCTCCAATCTGTTCTTGCTCTTCTATTTTGTCACTGTAATTAAATTAATAGGTTTACACTCTGATTTGTTGATATGCGTTGTTCTCCAATGAAATCCAACTGCAACCTGGACTCTTCTTCGCCCTATTTGATCTCTTTGCCCTCCTCACTTCCCATTCATCCTCCTTTCAGCCTCAGAGTATATGTTAGACAGCATCGCATAAGCTGTGGCGTTGTTAGGCTCCAGTTGAAAAATTCTCTCAGCTGATAGCCTCGCAAGGACAGGGTTGGAGTGGAGCCTGCTGGCATTAAGCAAAGCTCCCCAAGCTGATGAATTAGGTTGAAATGGCATGGAATCAATCAACTTCTTGGCTTCTTGTAGTAAACCAGAGCGGCCCAGGAGATCAATCATGCAGGTGTAATGATCGGGTCCTGGCTCGATGCCATAGCAAGATGCCATGGATTCGAAATACTGGTACCCTTCTTGAACCAAACCTGCATGAGAGCAGGCCGTAAGAACTACCAAAAAAGTGACCTGGTTGGGTTTGCAGCAGCCATCTGTCCCTGTTCTAGTAAACAATTCAAGCGCTTCCCTTGCGAAACCATGCTGAGCGAGTCCCGTTATCATTGCATTATATGCGACAATGCTCGGTTCACTGATTCCTGAAAATATGCGATGGGCATTGCCCAAGTCCCCGCATTTTGAATACATTGAGACTAAGGACGGCTGGATCAAGAGATCCGACTCCAAATCCAATTTGACAACAAGTGCATGGATCTGCACTCCTTGATTTAAGATAGCTAATCCGGCTAAAGCACTTAATACACTCGATAAAGTCATTGGATTTGGCTTGAATCCTTCTTTCATCATTCTGTGAAACCATTTAAATGCAGTAGCATTTTCCCCATTGCTTACAAAACCCGAAATTATGGCAGTCCAAGCAACGTCGTCTTTCTCTGGCATCGCTTCAAAGAGCCCAACAGACTCGTTCATCCACCCCAGGTTGGAAAAGCCCACCAGCATGGAAGTCCATGAAACCTGATCCTTCTCCGGAATTGCCTCGAAAATGGCAAAAGCCTCATCTATGTAACCATGCTCAACGTACCCGTCCAAGATCGAGTTCCAAGAAACCACATCTTTGCTGCTCATATCATTGAACCATCTCCTAGCAGCATCAATCCACCCGACTCTAGAGTACATCACTATAATCGAATTGCCTACGAAGACGTCATCCACGAAACCCAACAACAACACGAGTCCGTGGACCTGAAGCCCTTCTTCGCTCCTGCCCAAATCAGCGCAGGCATCAAGAACGACTGAGAGAGTCGTAGAGTTAACCCCCACGCCGTCCCTTCTCATCTGCGAGAACAGCTGAATGCCGCCTTCCCAGTTTCCGTTCTTCAGAAATCCCCGGATCAAGGATGTCCAGGAGACCACATTCCTCTCTGGCATACAACTGAAAGCCTGTAGTGCTTCGAACATCCTCCCACACTTGCAGTAGCCATCGACCATGGAGGTCCAAGAAACCACGTCCCTCACCGACATTCTTCTAAATATTCTCTCCGCCTCCTCCATGTTGCCAATCTTCAAGTACCCATTAATCAGAGCGTTCGAGCCGACCGGGTCCCGCCACGCACCGGGCATCTCCCTAAAAACATCCTCCGCCTCCTCCATCATCCCTTTCTTCGCGAAACCCGAGATCATCGCCGAAAACGAGACCAGGTTCTTGCTGGGTGCTACACAGAACAAGCGAAAGGCCTCCGCGAGGTCGGAGCTTCGGATGTAAGCGGAGACCATAGCGTTCCAGGCGGCGGTATTTCTGTCGGGCATTTGATCGAACAGGTCACGGGCAGTGGAGAGTCGGCCGTTTTCGGCGTAAGCAGTAAGAAGCGCGGTCCACGAGACGACGTCTCGATAAGGCATGCGGTCGAAGACGAGCTGGGCTCGGACGAGGTCGCCGCGTCGACCATTTTTGGTGATTTGGGAGTTGCAGAAGGGCTGCCGGTCTTGGTGTTGGTGGAGGTCGGCTCCCTCCTCAATTGGAAAAATGGGTGATGGAAGAAACTGAGGAATTTAAAATTGAAGCGGTAAAGATTTGAGAAGGACGAGGATTTATGCTTTTGTCTGTCGTAGGAGGAAGAGCAAATATTCTTGATGGGCTTGCTGAAGTGGCATGTTATGTTAATAAGATGACGATGACGGAGGGAGTACATCAAACAAGAAGAGAAGACTAGCTTGAGAGAACAATAGTTGAGCAAATGAGTGAGAAATGAACGAGGGGATCCGTTGAGCCTGAGATAAATTCAGGGTAAATTACACTGAACCCACAAGAAATTTGTTGAAATAGTAATATGTTTAGGGGCTTATGTGTAAGTTGTAGGGGCCTATATAAGCCCATCTTATCTCATGAATAAGATTAGGGTTTTCATTATCAATATGGTATCAGAACCTCCACAAAAAACCTAACCCTAGCCGCCGTCCCCCCCCTCTTCTTCCCCGATCAGCTTCCAACCCCCCCTTGATCTCTGTCCGATCAGACCCTCCTCCCTTCCGCCTCCTGCAGAGCAGCCCCAAACCCACGACCAGAACCCCCCACGGCTCCAGACCCACCTGACCCCCACCCCCTCCTGTCCGCAAACCCCACGACCAGAACCCCAGACCACCCCGACCAGAACCCCACGACCAGAACCCCCTCCTCAACCCTAAACCCTACGACCAGAACCCCCCAGACCCGACCAGACCCCCCTGCTGCCACCTCCAAACCCTTTCCTAGCCGCTGCCACCTCAAGCCCCCCCTGCTGCGCTATGTCGGACCTAGAGTTTGGCATGGGTTCCCTTGACTCAGTCCTCGAACTGATGACAGGAAGAGTTTATATCTCACATCGATGAGATATATAACTGGTTTTGGTTCTTGTTTCCTCTGAGAAACGAGAATTTGTTTGAGATCCTACTCTTGTTGTGTGGCAGAGGTGCTGCCGAAATTTTTACTGCACACAACAAGAGTCGGAAGAGAAGGTGAACAGGTAGTGGGTCTGAAGCCTATTCGATGGAGGAGATCATCAAGAAGTTGAACCCCGCGGAGGTATCAACTTTGATGAAGCTAATGAAGTTGTCGGCTGGTGAGAGTGCGACAAAACCATCGAAGAAGTTGGAGCTTCCGACCATCGATCTGAAGCTTGATGGACCGAATACGTACCTGAGCTGGTCGCGACGGGTGAGATACATCCTTGCAGGGAGGAATCTGGAGGGTTATCTGACAGGAGAGGTGACAGAGCCGGAGGACTCGGAGAGAAGAGATGAGTGGAAGTCCACTCATATGTTGGTGTACATATGGCTTCTCAATTCATTGGTCCCGACGATCGCAGCCACGGTGGATGGCATTGAGAAGGTGAAGGACGTCTAGGAGAAGTTGAGGAGGACATATGACGGAGTCGGGAATAACCTGAGGGTATTCCAGATTAAAGGAGAGATCGACGCCACAGTCCAGGGAGAAAGGACTGTACAGGAATATGCTACAGAGTTGGAACGCCTGTGGCTGGATTATGATCATTTCTCTCCCCGGGCTAGCTGCAAGGACCCGGGATGTAAAGAGCGGGAGGCCTTTCTACAAGAGAGGACTATGGTGTTTCTTAAAGGATTGACATCAGAGTTCGCTCAGCGAATTGCATTGCTCCTAGCTCAGCCGAAGATTCCCACGCTTGAGGAGGCTATCTCTGCTATGATCCAGGAGGAGACTCGCATTCGGCTGCAGGCGGGGACAGGTGGACTTCCTGTGGTGAAGTCAGCAATGGCAGCCTCTAGCAACACTGGATCTAGGGGAGAGACTCGACAATGCTACAACTGCGGTGCGGTGGGTCATCTAAGACATGCTTGCACCAAGCCACCCAAGGAAGGAGATTCGGGTGGACGTGTACAGTTCGGAGGTCGTGGTCGTGGCCGTGGGGGGCGACGAGGTGGAAGAGGAGCAGGGAATCGGGCGAATCTGACGGTAGCAGAGGAAGAAGAAGCTGAGGTGGTCTTTACAGAGGAGGATCGTGTTGATCGTGACAGATACCAGAGACTGGTGGGCAGGTTGATCTATTTGAGTCACACATGTCCCGTTATCTCTTTTGCAGTGAGCGTGGTGAGTCGCTACATGCACGATCCGAGGAAGGGTCATATGGACGCTGTGTACCAGATTCTGAGATATTTAAAGAGTGCCCCCGGAAAGGGACTGATATTCAGGAAGAATGGACATGTGAGCATCGAGGGTTATTGCGACTCTGATTGGGCTAGCTGTGCTGATGACAGGAGATCCACCTCAGGATATTGTATCTTTGTAGGAGGTAACTTGGTCTCGTGGAAGAGCAAGAAGCAATCGGTGGTAGCGAGATCAACAGCTGAAGCAGAATATAGAGCCATGGCCTTAGGAGTTACAGAGTTATTGTGGTTAAAGAGTATGTTGGTGGAGCTGAAGCTGGATCAAGGAGCCAAGATGAAGCTGTGGTGTGATAACAAGTCAGCCATCAGTATCGCCAACAACCCAGTGCAGCATGATAGAACCAAACACATCGAGATCGATAGGTTCTTCATCAAAGAGAAGTTGGACAATGGACTACTGGAGTTAAGTCATGTTCCAACTAAGGATCAGGCAGCAGATTGTCTGACTAAGGGGCTTAGCTCAGTAGATATGATTAGAGGATGTGACAAGATGGGCTTAGTGGATATCTTTCGCCCATCTTGAGGAGGAGTGTTGAAATAGTAATATGTTTAGGGGCTTATGTGTAAGTTGTAGGGGCCTATATAAGCCCATCTTATCTCATGAATAAGATTAGGGTTTTCATTATCAATAAAATTTCATCTTCTAAGCTCGCAGTAAACCCTTGATAACTATCGGCATTGCGGAGAAGTCCCGCTAAGTTTTCGACAACCCCATGACGGCGCCAGTCCATATTAAATATCTAAATGTATCACCAACTTATTGGGTTTTTTTTTGCAATTCCGTTAGTTACCGAGGGTTCAGTGCGATTTTAGAAGTTATTCAGGGTTTAGTTCAAAGTTCTGAAAGTTCTTGGGGCTTTAGTGTAATTTACCTCAATTTTGCTTGACGAGAGAGAAGATAAACATGCAAGGCAAACCATAGCTCAGAAAAATGCAAGTACAGTAATTCATCTAGTAGCATTTTATTCTCCTGCAATAGTTATACTTGCATTGCAAGTATAGTTACAACGTACCAAAGAACCCCAAGTGAAGCGTATGTCTAATTTCATCACGTTTGAAGTATGATAGCATTGCTTATAGCGACTGTTTTCGAGCTTTCACAGTAAATAATTGATTTTATTGTCAAGGTGCCAAGTGGTAAAAGTACATTTAGGTGAGAGGTAATTTTATCAGAGGGATTCAGTTGTGCTTCTACATGTCAGTCAGCATTTGCCTCTCAGTACACAAACTCTCACTTTCAGCAGTTAGCAACCAAAGATAGAACAGAAAACACAGGAGGCTGCTACCTGAATGCATGCATGTTTTTGTGCTTTAGGACCTCAAAACAAGCAAAAAAGCAAACACCCACAGAAACAAATTCTACATGAATGTACATTGTGCCAGTGGAAATAGATGACACGGTATCAAGAATTACATAATTATCGCACTCCTCTTTTTGACAGTAATAATAAATTAGAAAGAACGGATACAACATCAAAGAAAAAGCTAACTGTATTTGAAACGGCGGGATAAGAAATGTTATGATGGCCCCTCTCCCTCATGAAGCCTCTTTTTTTTTTGCTGAGAGGAACCCTGTCTCAGTTCCAGCCAAGTAAACGCCGGGTCTTGGGTCCTCCTTTCACATTCCAGACCCGGGTGAATGGTAGAAGTTTTGCAATGTGTCTAATAGTTAAAAATTAGAGATATGCATGTCATAGACACAGATCGACCATTGGCCTTTTGAGCCATGGGCCAACCCCCAACCACTAGGCCACTTGCCAGGGGTCCTCATGAAGCCTTTGCTTTGGCATTATTTACTCTTGAATATAGGAATACTCCAGCTAGTGCGACACCAGTTCCTGAAATAAAACCCACCCGCACAGACATCAGTTTAGTTACTAAAACAGAAAGCAGAAAATGAAATGGAAAAACGCTGTTCTACTACCATTTCACACAACCACCAAATCAAAGAGAGGTAACCAAATTTAACAGCAACATAATAATAATATGAGAATAACCAACTAACAACAACACGTTACCAAGTGAATTAACAGGCGATACTGGAGTCCTGAAAAAGAGAACTGATGACAATATCACCACTACTCTCTTTACACAATTGCCTACTGAGTGGCTGACAGGCGACACCCTAGCCAAAATCATATATGCAACCTGCCAGATTTCAAGAGCACGAGTACTACATTAGACAATTTACAGCTACAAAAGAAACTATCATAAATGACGCTGTATTTGAAGTTTGTTGCTGTCCTTAGTCATGTTGTCTGTATTATGCGAACTTCTAATGCATGAAAACTGCACTTGGACAGTAAGAAAGATCCAGCAAGACAGCTAACACCTGAGAGATGGAGGGCATCAAAGCAACCCAGCGAATATACGTATGTTTTCTGCCGGATATAAGACAATTTATGCATAGGTGAGAGGCTGCCTTTTGTATTCTTGAGGCGCATGTTTTATATGCAGCATACCTCAAAGACCGTCTAAAAATTGTTCTTTAAGTATTAATCTTGAACATTAGATCTCTTCTCAGGCATTCTGGGTTCTTATTTTTCTTCGGTGGAACCAGGAGGCCCCTTCTAAATTTTCTCCCTATTTATTTATTTATTTATTTTTAAGTTGCTGCATTGCACCTGTTTAAAGAAGTTTGTGACATGTAGTTAACCATTAGTGAAAAGTGAGGGTGTCAAACTGGGATGCATAAATCATAAGGTTGGGAATACTAAGAACTTGGTTGGAAGCAATTAAGAAGGTCATGGTTATGTTTAACTTAACAGAGGAGCTTTCCCGTAATATAATGGAATGGAAGAATAAGATTCATGTAGCAGACCCCAAATATTTGGGATAAAGGCTTTGGTAATGATGATGTTGCTGTTGTTGTACTAACAGGCTTTACTTTAGATGAAAAAAATGCAGATTTTGTGATTGTCCTAGGGGTAAACAAGAGGACAAAAAATGTGAATATAAGGCAACTGAAATTAAACAAACAATAGCACAACGGATCCTACGTTACCTGTTGATAAGCATGAAAGCAGAGAGCTGCAAGGAAGGACCTCGTATAAATCTCCCTCACACTCAAAGCCTAGAAGACAGGAAGAAAATACGCATACATTCAATTTCAAATGGAATGTAATCAACAAAAAAGAAACTTGAAAATATATTTTTATTCTCTCTAATACAATACTCACAGCAGAACGTATATAAGATGGAGAGAAGTTGACGCCTTCAACAAACAGAGCTATTGGGAGTGACAGGAAAAACGACATAATTGTTATAATGGAGAAGAGCGTTACGTTGTCCAGAGATTCCTGTTGACAAATGCTGTTGTTCAAGATTCGAATTGCAGAATGATAAGGATAACCAAATGCAATTGTAGATTTGTTCAATTCGGTTCAATCAGCACTCGTTATAAAAACAAATTTAATGGTTATTTGATGCAAACATTGATGATCTAAATTAACCAGAATTAGAGCCTCCAGCAACTAAAAAGTAGAATTGAGCAAATGGATTCATACCCACTTTTCTCAAATGAATTACCTCTTTGTTGACCATGATTTTTTTGCTCAGCACATTGCGGGATTGGTAGGTAAGATTGGAAGCCATGGCACTCCACAATCCAGCCCTGTTTACCAGCAAAAGGACCATAAATAGTGTTTCCATTCCAAATGTTAACAGAAAGGGAATAAAAGAATAAGGCATCATTTCAATAGAATCTATTATTGGCAAGAACAGTCCAGGGAGCACATATCCATGTAAAAGTAATATGAAAGTAGATCATCCATGTAATTACATGCAACATTGACTTCAGATGGGTGCAACTTAGTTACCAGTTAAAAGACGCTTCAGTCAGAGATGCTAATGCAACACCGCCGACAATTGGCACGAGAGAAAACAAGACCCAAGCAGTAGGAGCCTGCATATAACATTTTGGCAAGCTATGTAAGTGTAAATCTTGTTCTTAGTGTAAATCGTGTTCTTTTACCACTAGATTGCAGGTGGGCAGAATTATGAGATCCCTGACGCTTGGGATGCAAAGAAATCCTATTTCATTTACCTACACGCTTCTTTTTCTACACCAATGCAAACACCTGATGTTTTGGTTCTTGGGCATACGTAGTCAGTCTCGTAGACGGCATCGGTGCAGAATAAGAAGCATGTAGAAAAAGTATTTCTTGAAGAAAGTTCAAAATTCACCTCTCCTAGGAACAAGGTAGACAAGATGACCGTGAAAAAGGGCTCCATAGCTTTGATAGTGTGAGTGAATGAAACAGCAACCTTTCCAAGACTCATGTTAGTGAAAAGATTTCCGAATGTGTGCACAATGGCCAAAGGAAATATCGCGATAAGCTGCAGAGTGAGTTACGTAGATTATCAATTCAACAACAGAAGCGGGTGAGCGTCAGTAACAATCATCAACCAGAAACTTAGTTAACCAAACAATGTCGAAGTACCTGGGATGACACTATCTTAGGTCTCTTGCAGAGGTTCATAGTCCACATAAGAAGTACAAAGAGAGTCCCAACAGCAAATTGAAATGCTGTAACGGTCAAAGGGAAAGGGTAGACCTCGAGAACCTGTAAAAAAAAAAAAACAATTGATGCATTAAGTAAAACAAAAGTGAAAGCAGACAAGAAAATTTGCCTGATTAAGATCTAATTAAATTTTTTCAAGGGAAAATACTTTGTTTAATAGCTTTAGGAGGCTGCAGTGCAATTTTACAAAAAAAAAAAAAAAAAATTTAAGGTATCTGTGATCAAAAGCTCAACTAAAAATAACATAAGCAATTGGGTTTATGTTTAATTCCGGCAAATTTTCACAATCATTGATCACTGTGTGGTAAAGAGGGATGCATCACGTGAAAAATCAGACAACGTTAATGGCTAGAAAAGTCTAAAGGCTGATCTCTATAAACATTCCAGAATTAGGAATGCCCTTGATCTTCTGCAAAGTTTTTGGGGCCACGTCGAAAACGTGCTGTTTGAAATTTTACTCGGAATAAAATTTGGGGAAGGGTGTAGTGGTAAAAATAAGAAAGGCCGTTGCGATCATTAAAAAATAATTTACCAATGAGAGTAAATTAATGCGTTTGAGCTGATGAAATGGAAAGATAAAGAGAATTAAGGACGTGCCTGCTTGTTAAAGATGTTGCAGTAGATGTTGAAGATATACCACAAGGCGAAGAGGGCTCCCAGGTACACAACGCTGTTGTTGGTATCGGTGTTCGTATTCGTATCCGTATTCGCGTCCGGTGACGACGACGACGACGACGACGACGACGAGAGGATCAAATGGGGTCCATCAGAATCAACGTCGTCGTCATCATCATCAGCAACAACACCGCCTCTTCCCGCTCCTCCTCCACTGCGGGCGCTTTGAATCTTGATCAACGCTGGCGTCCTCGAAGAGCGAGATGAATGATAATAAAATGTAGAAGAAGAAGAAGAAAAATCCGTCCTTCTAATGAAAGAGACAGCGGGAACAGGGCGTCCAACTTCTCGACGACGGAGGATTGATTTGGTCTTCTTTGTTCTTGATCCCCGGCAGAAATGGCTTCCTCCTGCTGCTGCTGCTGAGCTCTGCGCCATTCTTATCAACCTAAATATTAACGTATTTGCCCCCCCCTCTCTCTCTCTCTCTCTCTCTTTCTTTTTTTCGTTCTTTTTTTTTTCTTTTTTCCTTCCTTTTTAATTTGTCGTTCCAGATCTAGAGATGCATTGTAAAGGCTGTTCTTGGATTCGATTAGATTCAACGTACCTGGACAGGACATCACTAGTAATAATAAATTAAAAGCACGTGGCAAATTTCGTTGCGGCTTCCTTCCTTCTTCATTATTTCTCCATTCTCTTTGAAAAAGAGGTTTACTTTGGTCCCCCAGAGTTTAAACTTTAAACCGATATATATATAGAGAAATATGGGTATGCTTGGTACCAAGCACAAAAAGTTGTGCTTGGTAGTGAGGTGTCAAATCCCCCTCCACTCATTCAAATGTGGGAACATATTCACATGGGTAATGAGTGGATGGGGATGTGACACATCACTACCAAGTACAAAATTTGTGCTTAGCTAAGCCGAAGCCATGACACTAATTCTCATATGTATCATTAGTATATTCTATTTATATATATATATATAGATATATAAATAGTATATAATATACGTATATATATGAAGGGAATATGGGTATACCTTGGGCCAATGATCCTTGGTAGTGATGTGTACACATCTTGTCCATGTTGTGGCACATCATAACCTTGAGGTTGGTGAGCTCCATTCTTCAAGGGTGTGATGTATGGATAAGATGTGTCCACATCATACCAAGGATCCTTGGTACAAAGATATCGCCACATCTCTTTCTCTCTCTCATTCATTCTCTACTCTCGTCTCTTCATATATACTATATATATATATATATATATATATATAAGATTAAAAGCACGTGGCAAATTTCGTTGCAGCTTCGCTTCCTTTTTCAATTATTTTCGCGGCAAATTTTGAGCAACGACGCTTGTTGCAAAAAAGTATTCCACAAAAACACCTTTTTTTTGAAATATTCGCAAAAAAACATTAACTTAAGGTGTTCAGAACCCGAGGCTAAAAGGGGGTCGTTTTGGGGCGAAAAAATTCCAAACATTTCCACCGTAGTTAACACCCCCGTGAAGTTTTTTACATAAGCACAAAACCTTCACGGGCGTTCCAAGCTTCCGTAAAGATTGGGATACTTTTTTCTTCAAGAATCGATCCAGGTTTTACCCTGAGGGCTAACAAAAGTCGTTTCTTTTCATCTCAAAGAAACCATAAAGTAGAACGGCTCTTTTTTCGAGAATATTTTTTGCAAGGTGGTCTGTTTTTCAGATTTTGTCCTTAGAGTCTCGTTTACTCATTCTCTATCTAGCTTCTCTCTCATATATATGTAGTATTTAATTCATATACTTATATATAAACTATCAGGCATAAACCTAATTACTAGTAAATAAGTATGTAACTATGTGCTATGGTTTAATTAGTTATATGTACTAGTATCGTACGCAAGGAATATTTAAGTGTCGTTATTCTTCATATATATTATATTATTGATTAAACGAGGGTGGAGGCTGGCAGTGTAGCACTATTGTCTAATGCTAACGCCCCTGGGTCACATGGCATTAGGTATGACATGTGTCCCGCCGCCCTACGAGGGTTCACTATCTCGGCGGTGTGGGCTCACATGCCATAACACTTGCAGCTAGGAAATTTCTGAGCCGCTGCAGCTGTCGCTCCGTTTTTCGATCCATATAAAATAAATTTGCATGTATTAGATGAATATCAGATAATTGAAAGTATATATATATAGGAAATCAGTGTATGGTCGAGGTAGTATAAGTATAGTTACATACGTTATAGTATATATTAATATACATACATATAGTATAGTCTAGTCAATGTATATACATACATATATATGAATACCTATTACATAACTCATACATTATATAGTTAGTAAGTTAATATCACTACCTATATTGAGAAACGGGGAGGGGGTGAGGCTGACAGGGGCGGGTGAGAAATTCCTACGCTGCAAAGGTGGCATGGACATGTGAGGGCCTCCCTACTAGTCACATTCGTGGTGGGGCCACGGATGTCATTACACACTTGCGAGCGTAGAGAATCCTCACGCTGGCAGCTAATCCTCCCGTTTCTCATATATTATATATATAGATAGTATATATAATATATATATATATATATATATAGTATAGATATACTTTAGCGTAATAAGGGGTATCTATTAATGAGGGGAGGAGGAGAGGATGACGAGATAGAGGAGGAGAGAGATTTTCTTCGGATGCGAACGATTTTCGGCGACACGCACAGCAACGTGCAAAAACAATTTTCAGCCGTTGGATCAATAACGAATTGATAATTAGAAGAGAAGAAGTGATGCCGAAAGATCAAAAGGATGGAAAAAATTATGATAGTAATATTTATGTTTACATAATATCCAGGAAGCTTACTTAATTATTTTTGTCATTTAACTTCATTGAAAAACTTATTTTGGTAGTGATAATATTAATGCATCTTACTAGCTATGATATAATATTGCTTACCAAAAAAATATTTCATGAAATAAACCTTTTCTTATACAGTCCTGAAGTAGAAACCAGGCTCGCATATAATCTTTAATTGCACTTGAATTATCCATCGGATTGGTCCCACCAATTCCTCATACATCCACGTATCCAACTGAGAGAGCACTATTACGCCTCGTTTGGTACGCGGGAATGGACAGACTTGGGAATGGAATGGAAGAAGGAATGGAATGGATTACATGTGGGAATGGAATGGTTATTCTCATTCTCTTGTTTGGGTGCGTTCGTAGAATGAAGCTAGAATAGAAATCTCATTCTCATTCCCATGTTTGGTATCACTAGTACACAAGTGAGAATGAAATCTCATTTTCTAATAATGCCCTTACAACAACATAGATTTTTAATAAGATAAAAAATAAACATTAATGATAATAACTAAATAATTTTATATACGCATATGTTATATTAATCTAGGTATGTGTTATACTAATGCCCGTGTTATCCATCAGGTGTATGTTTCGTTTATATTTTTTAAACAATACTCGCTATTTCTTAGTCTTAAAAAAAAGAAAAAAAAAGATTGTCGTATCTTTTATAGGTCAAAAAAAAAGAATGATATCCACAATCCACAGTTCTAGATATATAAATTAACTTATTTGATAAAGTATCAAAATCACTCAATTCATAATAGCAAAAATCCATAAAACAATACCAACTAAAATAATAAGTTTCGAAATAGCAAAATGATATACTAGCCTAAATTGTCAATCTAAAATTACCCACTTGCATAGCGCCTCACCCAAACATTCTTTATTATTAATATAGATCGATATAATTGAAAAATACCTAATTAGTTTTTGATTCTCACTTGAATGGGAATGACCATTCCTTACCTTCTCACTTGGAATGCTCATTCCCACAAATAGTGGGAATGATCATTCCTAGGGAATGGTCATTCCAACATCTAAAATATAGGTGTGTTTGGTATGAGAGAATGGGAAGTGGGAATTGCATTCCATTCCTCCTCATTCCCGCGTACCAAACGAGGCGTTAATGTCCAAAGAAAAAAATTAGCCCCATTTTAAACATGGGTAAATGAGAGCAAATAACAGGGAATCACACATTTTAAACACAGGGAATCTCCTAAATTAAAAAAAGAAAAGAAAAATAGGGATCAATTAAAAGGATCAGCTCCACATATAAAGAAGCTTGCAAAATCTCATGAAATTTACATTTGCCTGTGGTCGCCAGCGTGTTTTTGCTAGTCTAAGTCGTATTCGACCTCCACATATAAAGAAGACATATACTCCTCGTATTTTTGCTAGTCGAAGTCGTATTCGACCTCCGTATCAACCTGGATCACGATCCTTGGTTGCGACACTACAACCTCGGCAGAGAGGCTGTCAGCTCTCACTGTGGTCGCCAGCGTGTTTGGGTCAAAAGTTGATTTCTTCATTGTCATTGAACCTATTACAATCATTTATCGATTACAAATTCAAAAAAATAAAAAAGTTAATCTTTTTATAAGATCTTCTTACACATTGAAAAAATAAGGATTACAACTTTATCAAACAACACACAGAAACTATTTATTAACCCCTGTTTGCGTGGGATCTTTGCCTGTACCGGGGTTTATCCGTGGACCGCCCGGTTGATCAGAAGGCTAGAAGTTCGTTGCTTCACAAAGGAAACAAGAACGGAAGTGATAATCTCGACCAAGCGAGGTTATAACTCTTCTCGAGATCAAGTCCAAGCCTGATCTTAAGGAAAGGATGGACGGGACTTCAGATCCTTTGAATTGCTCCTTTTTTATGTCGAGATTCGCCAAGATCTGTTAGCCCTCTCTAAAATTCGTGGATCACTCTTCAAACCGACAACACTTCGCACTAAATTTCAGATCTGGAGAAATGAGCCCCTTGGCATGTATTTATAGGGCTTCAGATGTAGTGTTTGTGGATAAGAACAAGAGATTTGACCCTATCTTCAGTTAACAACGGCCTAACCACACATGAGAATGATATCAAGTCAGTTGGAACACTCTGGAACGAACAAATCCTGAGAAAATCATCAAAATACGAGTTTTGGGAAGTCGACGTGCACGGTAGATCCTGGTGACCCGCCACTGTGTGGGTCATCTCGTAGTGCCCAGCGTGCGTACGAGCCACCTCGTGGTGACCCGCGTGCGTGCGGGCCACCTCGTGGTGACCCGCATGCGTGTGGGTCACCTCGAGACTTCGCCATTTTTTGGCTTTCCCGAACATTTATTTTTCGTCGTTTTGCGTATTTTGTTGTTTTGTTGACTTGTACGCCTCGCTGGCTTACTTCATGTGTTCGTTAGCTTGTATACTACATTGGATGATCCTCCTTAATTCAGATAATCCCCTCTGACTTGGATGATGACATTCATCATCTTCGCTTAGTCTCGAACTACGTGCGGGAACTCATATGCATTTTTTTGACGCCTACACTCAATAGATTTTATATTCATAAATAAAATTTACATTTATAATTACTGAAAGTATTTTTTTAGGTGTCGACATTCCAGGGATGTTGCAAAATTCTCCTGTCTAGGCTTCACAGCCGATATGTGTATGGTCGTAATTCTTTAAGGACGGTGTAGGGTCCTTTCTAGTTGGGAGCTAATTTGTTATGCTTGGTGTCCTTATCGAAAGCTACTTTTCGGAGGACGAGGTCGCCGGCATTGAACCTACGGGGGCGGACATTATTGTTGTA